CAGTTGGTAGAAAATAAAAAAAATAATTAAGAAATTTAACACAAATAGAAAATATGAATTACTACATATAAAATCACCAACAATTTACTTGAAAGCTAAGTTTTTACTTGCATTTTGTTTATTTTTATTATTCTTAATCCTTATTGAAGATTTCTTTGGGTTAAGAGAGTTACTACCACAATCACTATAACATGGGTGCTCATCTTTTGTTGGTCTATTAATATTCAGGCACTCATATTCGATGCAAACATCTGGATAGATTCCAGCTGAATAGTATGGCTTTTCGATTCTTTCAGCACAAGATAATAAGTTATTAACGAAGACTCTAAAAAAAAGTTTATTAATAGAATTCTCTCTATGAGTATTATGTTCTTCTGCATTTTCATCAGATTCTTCTGCACTTTATTGGAATCTTCTATATTTTTACCAGTCTCTTCATTTGAGCTTTCAGATTTGAACTGATCAAGCTAATCCTCTTTACTCATATTTTCTTGGTTAGCTTCTTCATTAGGGCTTACAATATTCTTTGCATCATCAACTTCTAGTTGCTCTGGTAATACACTTCTCGCCAGGTCACATGTATGATGAAATGAAATACCACAAGTATAAAAAAATATATCAAAAATCCTTTCAACAGAGTCTTATCCTTTTCAGAAAGCTTCTTTGCACGAAGAGAAAACGAGGCTTCTCGCATTCAATACAATTTACAGTGATACCAACATTTTTGGCATGTGCAGCAGAGAGACTAAATGGCATGGTATGTTTAATTTTTACTTTACTTGCCTTTGTTTTTGTTTCAGATTTTATCAATAAAGGTCTATAGCTTTCTGTCATTTGATGACCATATAGATCTTTAAATGATTTGTAATGCAAATCATCCCCAGGTATTGGATCTGGTAGACAGTGTAGTTGCTCGAAAACTTCTGGTGAATAACGAGAAGACCGGCATATAGTACAGGATGATTTTCCACATTTCTTAATTAAAAAAAAGTAATGCCTTGAGATGCAACAATGGTCAAAAAAATCTTGTAAACGTGGCTTTAAATAAGAATATATTATTATAGTTAATTAATTCTTACTCTTCTTTTTTTAAATACAGGTAATTTAATCAATACTTATTTTTTGTTTTATATCTGCCACAGTAAAGTTTTCATAGGAAACATTATCATCCACAAGCAGAATTGTTTTTCAGAATTTCTTCATTTCTATTTCTGATACTGTGTTAAATGTATCAAATAGTTGTC